TTTGTTATGGGAGGGTCCAGGTAATTTTCACAACGTACAACTGTGGGGGGTTCATTGATTCTCTACGTCCCATTACTATGATTTTATATTAATGGGGGATCTCTGAGCGTACTAGACCACTCCGTAAATATGCCACTGCTGAAACCAAAATAAAATTATTATAAATTAAAAGATATGATCTATGATTATAAATAATTTGTTTATAATAATTACACATTTTATATATATTTACCAAACACAACAATGTAGTATATTATAACATTAAATAAACTAATAATGTACATAGTTTTACAACATAAATCAAAATGTTCAACTAATTCTGAATTAGTTCTACTTTTACACTTGGAAGTGAATCAGCTCTCAATATTAATTGAGTGCTAATATGTATATCTTTTTGGGTTCCCAGGGTTTCAAGTTTAATGTATCTTAAGACTGTTGCTAATATTGTTTTTATTTGATACATAGCAAACTTTTGACCTAAAATATAAGTAATAAAGTAATAATAATAAAAAATGAATATATTGAAATTGTTTTACATTAGTTTATAAAATCAATATACCTATACAATTTCTTGGTCCTGCACTAAATGGTAAATAACTGTATGGATGACGAATGATGTCAGGTAAATAACGATCGGGATTAAAATTTTCTGGATTTGGAAAATAAGATTCGTTACGATGAAGTAAGTGTAGGAATACAACTATTATTGAATTCGCTGGTATTGTATAGTTCTCTAAAATTATTATTTATTTATTACTAAAAAATAAAATTTAGAGTATTTTTTAGAGTTTTATAATCTTATAAACCCACTAAGATATAATGGTTGGAAGAGTTCTCGTGTGATGGCTGTTACACTAGGGTACAATCTCAATGTTTCTTTAATAACTCTCTCCAAATAGTGCATTTCTTTTAAATCATTAATTGTAATTTCTCGATCACTGCCTTTAAAGATATCATTAAGTTCTTCTCGAACCATATCCTATAAAAATTATTTCTAACAAGTCTTAAAAAATAAGATAGGTAAACATTATATATCATTAAAGACCAAATTACTGCCAAAACTGGATTTATTAAATTAAAAAAATGTTTAAATTTGAGAAATGCCACACTGAAATTTTTTTCTGTGGTTCTATATATAATATCTACAATATTTTATATGATATAATTAACAGGTCACGTTCTAGGCTCAAAGTTTTGAGAAAATGTTAAAATTTGAAGTTTTTTTTGATATTTTTAAGCATATTTTGATAATTCAAAATACTATCAGGAACTTTTTTTGTAAAATTTGTATATTAATAATAAAAATCTTCTAATAAATTTTTATATTGTAGATATGATTTGTAAAAACTAAAATAACCAAATAACAGTAACGTTTTTGAAAATTGCCAGTTTTTTGTTTTTGGCAATTATCTCTTTAAATATTAAATATAGAAAAAACTGTATGTAATTAAAACCTGTGTAATTTATTTTTTCTAAAGAAAGTTTAAATATATTATTTTTTAATAATCTAACCCTTTCATTAAAATTAAGGAAAATGACAAAAAATCAGATTTTTTCGAAAAAATATATCAAAAGTATTATAAATAACAATTTATTAAATTAACAATTATTATAATAAATAAAATACTATGAAGTATAATATTATGTGACACATACATTTTTTTTACTATAATAATAAAAATAATTATAATAAGCGTAGAAATTAAATTAAAAATTAATTTATTAAGTTTAAAAATTTATAGAAACTGTTAATACGCTTTTTTTAACCCTACGATCTATTATAATTTATTGCCTTAAACAATATAAAATAGTAAGACAATTTTTTTGAGTTTCATTCTTGTAGTGCTATCGTTAAAATGCTCTATTACTTTTATGCTTTTTTCGTCAGAATTATTAACAAATTTTAGCTGTTCTATTAGCCTTTCTTAATATAAGTACTAAAATAATATAACTGTACCCAGCTTATTATTATGTTTAATAATATTAACACTATATTTATTGTTTTATATTTTTATAAAGTATCACTTAGATAAAATTCATGGGTGTGTTGCATTTTCTTAATTTGAGGAAAATATTGATATAGACACAAACATGAATATAGCTTAAAAAATGAACAAACTGAAAACGAATCTGAAGTTTAAATAAAAATGTGTAATTTAAAAATTAGTGATTTAAAAATATTTTTAAGTAAATCAAACGAAGAAAAATATATTCATTGAGGCGGTAATTCAGGGTGATACTTCATATGCCTATGCAAAAAAACTTAATTTTGTATTATTTAGTATTTCAGTGGCTATTTTCGAAAAGCTGATATATCAATCATAGCAATTTTTAAGGCAACAAAAACAAATTTGAAATTTCAATTGAGTTTTATGAAATTTGACTTTTTGGTGTGCAAGTAGCAAATCTCCATAATAATGTCAATTTTATCCAGTATTTTTTAGCATATGATAAAAAGTATTTCTCTGTGTAAATTATAAAATCTCAAAACTTTGTTTTTGTGATTTTATACTTTTGAAAATAATTCATAGAGTTCAATTAAAGGGATTGTTGTAACAACCAGACAAGTCCAACTTTTTCAGAAAATAATTTTATGTTAATTTTGAGTAAATATGATTTTTTTGCGCAATTCAGTATAAAAATGAGTTCTATATTTCTATTATTTGTGGATATATTTCATTAAAAAATATTTTTTTAATATGGTTNAATTCAGTATAAAAATGAGTTCTATATTTCTATTATTTGTGGATATATTTCATTAAAAAATATTTTTTTAATATGGTTTTCTTAAACCATATTAAGACAATCTGGTTAAAGACTTATCTGGTTTTTGTATAAAGTCCTTTAATTTAAAGCCAATTATTACATTTATAATTGATATAAAATTAAAATATAAAATTTAAGTTAATTAATTAAGTTACTTTTTCAAAAGATTTAACTTTTAATTTAATTTGTTACTTTGTAATTTGATTCACATGTTAATGTGAAGTCGATTTAATTTTGTATTCTAATATTAAAATTACATAAATAATTATTCCTTGTAGTGTTCATATATTTAATCTTTGTCACGTACTGCTCTAAATAGGAAACATATAATTAACATAACAAGTTTAAAATATGTGTTAAATTACCTAGCCTTAAAAATTAACAACTATATTTTAAAGCACCTGGTCCTAGAGATATTTTTAAAAATCTAGCTTGAACTGATAAAAATATATATAGGATGATTTTTTTATCATAACCCACTCAATTACTTACAGAATAATAATAAATTAAAATTTTTTTTATTTATTATCTTTAGTGACACATATCTAATAACACAAATAAAATTATACTAAAAATTCAATTGCCATTTACTATTAAATTAAAAACTCAAACATTTTATTAAATTTAAAATATATGTTCCTATTTAAAAAAACAAAGTTGACATCCTTAACAGGCATAAGGGATGAACTTCAATAGTATTACATAATTAATAATTCAAGAATAATGTGTAACTAAAGATAATAATAAAAAAAAAAAATTTAATTATTATTATTCTGTAAGTAAGTTTTATTGTAAGTTTTATTTCTGATTTATGTTCTGTGTGCCAAAGGCCACAATCTTGTATGTGTTTCAAATATCAATTAAATTTTTTACTTGTGCAAAATTGCATTCATANAATTAATAATTTTTGATCTAGATGGTAATAATAACAATAAGAAGAATATAAAATATATTAATAATAAGATGTAGTAAATCAAAACTTATTAGATTTGACAAAATATCGTGGAACATTCTCTATATTTAGAAGTCTGATTGTCAACCGATTCAGACCGAACTGATTTAAAGCTAAGTAGGATGAGCCAGTTCATTGTAGTTCATAAATACACATAAATTTTCAGATTTTTTAATAATTTGCAATAAATCTCAATCCATTCCGACTAAATGAAGAGTGAATGTGTCAAACGTTCTATGTGCCAAAAATGTGAAAAATTGTTTTATTTCTGATTTATGTTCTGTGTGCCAAAGGCCACAATCTTGTATGTGTTTCAAATATCAATTAAATTTTTTACTTGTACAAAATTGCATTCATAGATGGTGTTCGATATGTGAGACATGTCCATGTTACCATTGTTTTTTGTGTTTTCTGAACAAATATGTTTTTGGCACATAGAACGTTTGACACATTCACTCTTCAAATAATTAAAAAATTTTTTTTTCGATTTTTGCTTCTTCAAAAAATACTCTTCAACGTCATATTTAATACGGCACTGAAGAGTAAATACCAAGTTATCTAGGTTTAAGCCGGCTTTTTCAAAAAGTGTACTCTCGTATACATCTTTTTTCAGCACTAAATAGGTATTTAGAATTATATTTTAAATTATTTAATAAATTAAATAAACTCAACACAGAAAACAAACTAACACCCTAATATTAATAATTATTAATACATGTATTAAAATATATCGTGTGATGTGTAATTATCTTATCTCCGGTTAAAAATTATCAGATAATTTCTACTTAAGTTCATATTAGTTGCTTTATCAAAGTATTTTAATAACCTAGAAGTGACTATGCCTATCATAAAATATAGTCCCTAATATTTACAAGGGGCCCATCAGGAATTTCTCGATAATTCACCTAGACTATTCGAGTTTGCCTATACCTAAAAATTACATTAACTCAATAAATAATATTACAAAACTGGTTATAGACTTATAAAAATTTATTTAGTCTATTTCACATCTAATAGCAAAAAAATAATTTTAGGTTTCCATTGAACTTCCAAAAATTACTCCTAAAATCTATATATAGAAATAATTAATTTTTACAATTAATTTTATATTTTTCATAATTTATAAAAATAAATAAAATATTAATAGTATATTTAAATTAAAAAATCATTATTTGACGAAAAAATCAGGGTAGTATTATTAATAAATCACATTGTATAATATACAGAACATGTTATTCTTCATATTATAAAATTAATTCATTCATTTGAGATAAAAATTTACCTGCATATTTTTATTTAACCCGAGTTGAATAAGAGCCATCGTTATGGCTATTGAAGATGTATCGTGTCCTTCAAACAAAAATGTGTCGACTTCTTCACGGATATCAGCATCTGTCATCACATTTGGATTTTCATCGGATATGCCAATTAACAAGTCCATGAAGAATTTAACTTTTTTATTTCCTATTATAGTAATTATAAAGTATTATTAAAATGCACTTGAATTATTTCGTATACTAGATTATATTTAATAAAAAAAAAAACCCAGCACAGGGGGGTCGCGGCACAGTGGTGACGTGGCATAGTTGGATCAAGTATAATGATATCTGACAGTGATTAAAATCACTATCAAAAAAAAAACCTTCGATGCAAATCTTTAGATAGTGTTTAATTTTAAAAAATTGGTGGATTATTCCAAAAGCTTCATAAACTGCTAGTTCCTTATTAATATCCTGATTAAGATAAAGTATGTCGAATGAAAAAGGGATTATTAAAAAATAGTATTTCCCATAAAAAAATTATATTGATCAATACACTTTTCAATAAGTTATAGCATTATAAAGTTAAAAATGTAAAAAATAAAATTGAGAATTTTCACACAATAATAGCATTTGGTAGCCATTTTCACCGTGAAGATAAAATAAAGTCCGAAATTTTTTTTTTCCATGATAAAGTATATTACATTAGCTTTAATTTAAGATATATATAAAAGTGTCAGACTTTCCGGAACACTTTCAAAATTTAAGTTGAAAAAGTCAATTTTTTGTGAAAAAGTTGTCATTTTGAATCCCCCCCTGTAGGCAGGTAAAAAGTCAGATTTATAAAAAAAATATACCAAATGATAGGTAAAGACATCATGCATCTACAAAAAAAAGAATTATATTGATCCATACATCTTTCGAGAAGTTATAGCATTATAAAGTTAAAAATATAAAAAAGAATTTTTTTACAAAAATCGTATTTTTTTTATTAAGTTTAATGTCTGTTTTCACCATGAAGATAAAATAAAGTCCGAAATTTTTTTTTACCATTATAAAGTATATTACATTAGCTTTAATTTAAGATATATATAAAAGTGTCAGACCTTCCGGAACACTTTCAAAAGTTACGTTGAAAAAGTTCTACTTTCTATATGCATTTTTATGTTTTGAATCCCCCCTGTATTTAGGGAAATGGTCCGATTTAAAAAAACAGTATGTCGAATGAAAGATCTATATAAATACTACTTCTCATAAAAAAATTGTAATGATTCATACATTTTTCAAAAAGTTATAGCATAATAAAGTTAAAAATGGAAAATACAAAATCGAAAATTTTCACACAAAAATAGCATTTGTTAGCCATTTTCACCATGAAGATAAGATAAAGTCCGAAATTTTTTTTTTCATGATAATTCATATTACATTAGCTTTAATTTAAGATATATATAAAAGTGTCAGACCTTCCGGAACATTTTCAAAATTTAAGTTAAAAAAATTAATTTTTTGTGAAAAAGTTGTCATTTTAAATCCCCCCTTGTGGGCAGGTTAAGGGTTAAATTTATGAAAAAAATATACCAAATGAAAGGTAATGATATTATGCATCTATATAAAAAAGAATTATATTGATATGTTTATTTTTGAAAAAGTTATGGCACTTTTAAGTAAAAAAAATTGAAAAAATTTCGAAAATTAGCGATTTTTAAATTTGTAATTTTTTTGGAGGTTTCCCCCTTTTACGGGGAACGAGGGAATTTTTTTCAATTTTTAAGGGTAATGTCTTCGACTAGATACGATTTGTGATCTTTTGACGTATCATTGAAAGAAATCGGTTCGGTGAGAGCTGAGAAAAAGTGGTAACAGACACAAAAAAAAAAAACACATCTTAGTAAAACCAATACCTTCTCAGCTTCGCATCGAAGCTAATATTCTCTTTTTTACAATGAAAAATGTAACTATCGTAACGTAATAAAATATAAGTAGGAAAATAACTTTTATACGCATGCAAAAAAACAAAAATAATCTTGAAATTTTTTTTAAATAAAAAGTTTTTTAATGATGGTGCTAAATTAATGTTTTGTTTATTAATTTATGAATTATTCGTAAATTGATTAATAATAAAATATTTATTTTGTTTAATATGTGAACAATTCGATAATTATTATTATTGTCAAAAAAATAACAGTTAAAATATTCGTACCATCGTTTTCTTGGATTTTATTTTCCTGAATTTTCAATTGATGTCGTTTTTCATTAATAACCTAAATTTTAATTAAATTAATTTTTTTAATTTTATTCATGTTGCTAATAGATCACTTAGATAAACATTGTATTAATTATATATTACGTTTTCTGTAAATGTATGTAACACTTTTAATGCCTTATAAAATTCTCTTCCATTCTTGCTTAAGTTAAAGACAGTATCATTCCATAACCAAAATGTGAATATTCTTTTAATTATTATATTGCTTACACTTAAAAATAAACAATGCTATTGGTGTCATGTAAATAAATATATTGTAATGAAACAATGAAATTAACTTACGTTTTAATTGATTTGACGTATTTAATTGATTCTCCTTCTTGAGATTTCAAATTAATACCCATTATTGTTTCTATAAAAATCATAACAGTTATTTAGAGGTTATTGAATTCTACTATCAATATACAGAATTTTCTCATTTATGTTTTTATGGTTATGTTCAATATGTAAGTAGATGACAATTTGTAAATTCAAAAGTTTTAATTTTTTATTAAGAAATTTGTGTGAATTTAAACAAAACTTTTATGCTTGGCATTGTCTGACACGACTTATATCGCAATAATGTAGGCGACACTGAATTTGAGGGTAGAGACCGGTGGGCCGTTTATTAATAAGCAACAACAGGTTATTTAAAACACAAACAAACAGAAAAGACGAACACAGTTAATAATAATCTTCGCATAATATCGCGGCACTTTCACTGGCGTCTTTTAAGCATTTCCATACCTAGACAGAAGAAGTGAAGCTGAGAAATGTTTTATGATAAAAATAGAAGAACTTGCGATTTACCAGCTGTCATTACGTTAAATTATTAATAATCTCCCAAAAGGTATACAAATATTAATAACTTCCGAATTACTAGTCCAATAGTTGTTACCGACCAGTCATTTACTTAATTATCTAACAAATAAGCTAGTTAATTATATATTTTGCTAATTGAAAAAATTAAGTTGACTACCCTTATAAGGTATAATGGTTCAATATAAAAATATTTCATTTTTAATAAATTTAAAAAAACGTGGTACTAAAATAAATAAAATAAAATTATCAATATTAGATTTATTTGTTTGTTAATTATATTATTTATGATAGAATAATCACTCTGATTAAAAAATAAAAAATTGATGTTAAAGTGTTAGGAAACTCTTTAAAATGTTAATGGATCAACTTTGCTTTAAAAATAATTAATAAAGTTTTAAAAAATATTTTACTACTTCTGTTATACTCACCACCAATAACATCAAGCGCACAAAGGGTAATATGATTATCCATGTTTTTTACAATTTTATTATCGTCAGATTGCTTTATAAGGTTTTTTACTAATATGTTTGAGTGTTTATTCAAAGCTGGCATATAGCTTTCCAATATTTTAAAGTGGAAGGTATTTGTCAATAATTTCCTTCGCATGTGCCATTTTTCATCTAAGTTAAATTTTTTTTTTTTTATTAATGATTTATTAAATATAAATTGTTATAATATTTATATTAATACTATTATACACAGTAGAGTATAGTTGTTTTATTGATTTAATATGTATTCAATAAAAATATTAAAGCAAGAAAAAAACAAAATGATAGCACAGTGGGATCGCGGCACAGTATGGACTTGGGATAGTTGGGACAAGTATATATGATATCTGACAGTGATTAAAATCATTAATTCCTAATAATCATTTCTAAGTAACTATAATAAGTAAAATTTGATTATATTTGTTTGCACGGAGAAAGCTAGTTAAGCAACTTTTTATTTGATAAAGGGGATTTTTGTTTAATTTTTGAGGGTCATATCATTAACTAGATACTAGTTGTGATCATTTGACATATCTTTAAAAAAAATTGGTAAAGTGAAAACTGAGAAAATATATAACAGTCACAAAAAAGAACCTTATAGTAAAATAATATTAATATGAATTAGAAATTTCTTCTCACAGGTATAGATTACAGTGATGGAGTCCTTGATATTCATTCAAGTTATAGAATCAAAATGAAATAAAACTCAAATGAGTTGAACATTTTTTTCTAACTTAAAAAGAATTAAGAAAAAAATGTAAAAAATGTATTCCCACAGGCGGGTTTGAACCTTGTACCTTAAGTGTGATAATCACAAATTTAACTAACCGGTGACCGTACGTCGCCTTCGATGAATGATAAAAAAGCAATTTATGCTAGTCTTAAATTTCAAAATTATTTTTCTGGACTTAAAAGAATCAAAAGAATTGAAATAAGTTTAACTTTCTATGCTATGTCAATTAGATTTATATAATATTTATGAAAATGAGTATAATCCTTTTGTCAGGTATTTTAAAATAAAATAAAATATAAAATCGAGAATTATAACATAAAAATAGCATATTTTTTAATATGGTAGCCATTTTCATCATGAAGACAATGTGAAGTTCGACATTTTCAAAAGTTAAATTGAAAAAGTTCTACCTTATATACGCCTATTTAAAGTTTTGAACCTCCCTTGTATAAAGGGAAATAGTCTGATTTAAAAAATAAGTATGCCAAATGAAAGGTGTGTATATAAATAATTAAGAAAAAAGAATATTGATCCAAACATTTTTTAAAAAGTTATAGCAACATAAAGTTTATAAATATAAAATATAAAATCAAGAATTTTTTCACAAAAATAGCATAGTTTGAATACGACAGTCATTTTTACCATAAACATAAGTTCAGAGGTCAAATATGTATGAAATTGATGTTTAATAATTCAGTATTGTAATTTTTTCGGAGAAATTATAAAAAAATAGAAATTAGTTATTACTTTTATGACAAACGTGTATAAAAATTGAAGGGCTTCATACAAAACTTTTTAGAAAATCATTTGTTGTTAATTATGAATATAGATTTCACAAAGAATTATCATCGGATTCAAAAATATAATTTAATTATTCAATTTTTACCCATTTACGGGGAATGAAGGAATTTATTTCAATCTTTGAGGGTAATGTCTTTGACTAGATACAATTTGAGATCTTTTGACGTATTGTTCGTCAAAATCGGTCCAGTGACAGCTGAGAATGAGTGGTAACAGACACACACACAAAAAAAAATAGAATAAAAAAATAGACATGATAGTAAAATTAATAACTTCTCAGCTTCGCATCGAAGCTGATTAATATCTTCTCAACTTCACATCGAAACTAAAATTAGAAAACTTAAGAGTTTTATAATAATAAGTTTTTCTAAAATTCAAAATAATAAAAGTTCTTTAAAAGGAATATACACCCAGAGAAAAACCTCGATCTATATAATAAATTCATTGTTCAATTTGATAAATATATCATTACTATTGAACCTATGATATTTTTTTTTCTTGTCTTGAACAATAATTATTTATAAGAATAGTTATTTTGTTCGTATTAATAAAACATTATCATAAACCCTTGATAAAATTTCTCTATCAAAATTGATTGAGGTTTTTCTTTGGGTGTAGAGTAATTTATTTATTTTTAATATGGAATGGTTTTTAATTAAAATAGAATAAATTTTAAATTAAAACTCCTTTTTTTGTATTAAACTACTTAAATAAATTTATATTTTAAGAAAAAAATATACAATATAACTATACAATAATTACATTATAATGTATATTTTCAGTTTACGTCAACAATGAAATTATTTTGTTGTCTGAAGTTAGAATAAAATAAACAGATCAGACTTTTATAGATATTACACGTATTGTGTTAATCTTATATAGAATAATTTGCTTTATTATTTGAAAAATAAAATTCATATAATAAAGTAGAGTATTTTACGACCCTTCTATAATTAAAAAAATATTTATAACCTCTAAATTTGTATTTAAAATCATAAATATAAATATACTTGATATTTAATTACTGTGATTGCATGATGTACCTGTACTTGTTAAAAGTCCTGTACTTAGCCACGGTTCAATTAATTTGTAATCCGGACCTTTAGTAATATGTTGGGTACTGGACAACAAAACCTATAAATAAAAATAAAAATATAAGGCAACTTAGATTCTAAAAAAAAAAAATAATTGTGACCTTCACATCTTCTGGGTCATTTATAAGAATATAGTTCCGTAACATAAGTCTTACTAACACAAGCTGACCTTTGGTTTTAAGAATGTTAGCGATAAATGGTAAAATTTCTGGAACAATTTAAGTATAATTTACTATAAAATATGGAAATATATTTGTTCTTAAAAATTAAAGAAATTTCTTTTTTTCACCGATTTATATCGACAAAAATTATAGGCACATAACAAGAAATTTTTTACGAGGGACAATCAAATTTGGATTCTTATAATTTTACATGAATTTTAATAATTAAAGATAATCAGAAATATATAATCTAGTGAAATTTATTGTGGAATTTTCTAAGATTTCTTTTAAAACTTTTATGATACCTAAAAAAAAATTATATTTTGTATTTGGAGAGATCGAATCTAGGCCAAGGTAAAATTAAGGTGTGCCCAACTTACCTAAGCCTCCTTGTAGCTAAGTGTATAAAAAATATGTCTTTTCAATAGTAATTGTAAAAAAACATGATAAATGTTATTGAAAATATTTGTATCGATAATGTTGTTGAAACTGAATTGAAACAAATATTAATCGTTTAAATCATATAGTTGCGTACTGACAATCTTTTAAAAACATTTATTAAAATTTTTATTAACACGTATTAACAAAATATATTGACGGTCCATATTGACCTAAAACCAATACCTTAACGAATAATAATTATTCGATTATTATTATTCATGACTAATTAGTTTCGAACTATTTGATAAAATGTTTGATAGTTTTAATTACAATAAAATAAACACATGAATTATTCTATGGTATTCAATTGAATAAAAACTACTGTATATTTTACTTGATAGTCAAAAGTACTCAGTCATCTAAATTTTCATTCAAATATTTATTAAATAAAAATATTGTTAATAAATGTTGATATTTAATGTGTTCATTTATTTGTTTTAATCTGTACAATATGCTGAACGGTTAGTAATCATATCACTTATGGTAACAGTTCAACAGACGGTAGTGTCAATTATTTAATAACTAAATACTATTGAAAAACATTGTTTCTGTCCACAGTTTTTAAAACAACAGATTGAATTGAATAATTTGATAATACCCATCACTAATTTTGGGTACTAATTTTAACAAAAACTTCAAAGAAATTGAAAGTAAAAAACAGTCAAATAGTTCTTTTTTCTTCATTTTGCACACAACCAAATTTAAATAAAGAAACCATAAATATGTACTAGAAACAATGTTGACATTTTGATTAAAAAATAAAAAATTATACAATACACAGCAAAACGTAAGTATTTTAGAATTTAAAACCGAATGTGTGTTGATGGCTGTTATTGAAAGATTGGCAGATTGAAGTACATAGACGCGTCTATCTATATTAGGGTAGCACTTAATTTTGAAATTTAACCTTCTCAGCTTCCAAAATTATTTTACCGTACAAGTTGATAAGTTCTACAAAATTTGGTTAAGATTGATCGAAACTAACACGTACCACAAGACAGTTAAAAATTGAACTCGAGGGGTGGTGTTTTAGTTTTTTTATTCTTTACTCAAAAATGACAACTCTTATTGTAAAAATCAATATAACATAAGTTAATGCTCTAATAATTGTCTAAATAAACTTTCTTATATATTTTATTTAAAATTAAGTATTGGAACGTTAAATTAAAACTATTAAAATTTTTTATTATCATTAAAAAATGTACATTGATTAGAAATATATAGATTAGATTGATTAGATACAAATATCTTTATATTTATTGAACCTTTCATCATACGACTAAATATTTCAGGAAAGTTATTTATAATTACATTTATTTAACATTTTATTTTGTAAAAATGTTGTATTTCCAACTCTTTATTTGATATGTCGAACTTATAAGTTATATTTATATCTACATATTTGTTGTCTAGGTAACTAAAAATCTATTTGAAATGACGTTTAGATTTTCGTTAGAGTATCATGATAATAGAAGTAATATTTTTAAAACACTAATGTTTTAAACATTTTTCAGGCTTTTCTTGGTGTGATCAACTTATTTAATTTTAATTATGGAAAATATTCTACTGAAACTTTACATACATAATGCTTTGTAGGCTTAATAGGTCACGATTTGAAATTGCTTAATTCCTAATACTATTAACTTATTTTGTCTTATTTATAAATTAGATATTTCAAATTATAAAACTATTCCTTAAAATATTGAAATCTTGAATAATTTATGTAAAAATATTTTTTATGTTTGAAAAAGTAATTGATCAAAAGTTGTTATTATAGTCTAATATTATAATCGAATAAGTGTAAAATTAAGCTCATAGTTGAAGCTTCTGCCAATTTTAAATTATTTATCTCATAGTTTCTAAATTTTAAATTAATTAAATAATTATTTACCTGGAGGTTTTAAACTGCCAAATTTTAACGAATAAGCCAAAACATCCCAAAAAGATTTTGTTACAGTTGGGAGTTGTGACAATCGTTTTTTTTGTTCGATTTCAATTTCATTACGAAAGAAAAAAAAATGTATACAAATAAGTATAAAAACTATGAAAAGAATAAAATATTGATAAATAAATGAGTATTCGAACAACATAATTATTGTTGTTAGTAATAACGACTAAATAGAAAATGTAATCAATTATTGAGATTTACTTATTTCACAACATTTCACTGATATGACTGGAAAACCTTGAATGTCTAAAACTGGACTGTAGAGATAATAAGGGAAATATTTTATTGACCTATTGCTTAGATTTATTTAACAAATATATTTATTTTTCGGTAGAATAAACCTTCGACTTTTTCGTTAATTAGTGTTTTTTTCATACAAATATAGTTTTATATATTTTTATTTACCATAATAATAATTCAAGAAACAGAATTACAAAAACTGGTTATTGATCCGTCAGCATTTTATTAAGTCCATTTTCAATTAAAAATTGTAATAGTAATTAGGAGTCCCAATTTATCTTTCGAAATTGTCCCTAAAAACTACCAAAAGTAGTTTTTAATTGTTTTTTTTTCCAATTAATATGATATTTATCATGGTTCCAAAAAAATAAATGAATTTTTATGATGATGAAATAATAATGATTTTTTATACAAATATACTGTCATTTGTTTTTTGAAAAAATCATTATTTAATCAAAAAATTAAGTTTATTAGATCATACTATGTAAAAATTATTTATAGTGTGATATACTATTTTGATACGTTTATCATATAAATACTCACGTGATTTAAAATAATAAATGTTTTTTTAAGAATAATAAATTAAAATACTTAAGATATCAGTATTATATAATATTCACCAAAGATAACAAAGTGCCAGTAAACAAATTATTTTTTTATTATTATTTATAAATGGTAATCATAAAAAAAAAATTATGTAGATGTTTTAAATGTTATGAACATATTTGTGGCATTAAATAGTTTAAAAAAATAATATTAATTGAACAGGGCATTTTAAATAAAAATTTTTAAAAATTACTCTTAAATTATTAAATAATCAACATATTTTTAATAGTTGTTACATTATATTTATACTAAACAAGAAAAAAATGAATCCAAATTAATATTAAATTTATAGATATTCAAAGTTATGTGTATGTAATGCTCCTAATATCCCCAGTAGTTGTTGATTTTTATATTTATTTATTTGTTAAGTTATATATTATTCATTGAATTTTAACATTTTTTTTTTGTACATTTTCTGTTGAGAGTTATACACGTAATTGTTCTAAATAAATTAAACAATATTATATCTAGTAAATAATTACTGAAAAATTTAATATTCCTTCGACGACTTCGTATAAACGATATAAATTTGCGTAAAATAACAAAATAAAATCCTTAAGTATGCAGTTATTTTAATCTTTTTTTATTCATAAATACACATTTCTACAATTTAATTTTGTGATAAAACTTTAATTGCTAGATTATATTATTGTTTTCAATAAGAGAGAATTCCATATCCGGTAGTGACTCAAATCTTAACACTATTTGGGAACTTATCTTTATATCAACCCCAGTTCCTAATATTTTAAATTTTAGCTGTCGTAAAACAGTGGAAATTATAATTTTGATCTGAAGCATTGCAAATTTTTGTCCTACAATTCGTTAAAAAAATAAATAAAATAACATTAAATAAAATGTTGAATTGTAGTATAAGAAAAAGAAAACGAAATCAAATGGCATCAAGTACTTCCCAATACACTTTCTTGGCCCAGCACTAATTGGTAAATATTAAAAAATATGGTGTGATATACTATACATTATATTTTTACTAAACACGAAAAAAAATTGAATTCAAAGTTATGTGTATGCAATGCTCCCAATATTCCCAGTAATTGTTGATTTTTATATTTATTTATTTATTAAGTTATATGTTATTCTTTAAATTTTAACATTTTTTTTTATAAATTTTCTGTTGAAAGTTATACATGTAAGTGATATCAATAAATTCAACAATAACATATTTAGTAAATAATTACTAAAAATTTTAACATTCCTTCGACGGCTTTGTATAAACGATATAAGCATGTGTAAAGTAATAAAATTAAATCCTTAAGTATCCAGTTATGGTTAATTTTATCGTTTTAGCTTCGATGCGAAGCTGAGAAGGTATTGGTTTTACTAAGATGTGTTTTTTTTTTTTTTGTGTCTGTTACCACTTTTTCTCAGCTCTCACCGAACCGATTTCTTTCAATGATACGTCAAAAGATCACAAATCGTATCTAGTCGAAGACATTACCCTTAAAAATTGAAAAAAATTCCCTCGTTCCCCGTAAATGGGGGAAACCTCCAAAAAAATTACAAATTTAAAAATCGCTAATTTTCGATATTTTTTCAATTTTTTTTACTTAAAAGTGCCATAACTTTTTCAAAAATAAACATATCAATATAATTCTTTTTTATATAGATGCATAATATCATTACCTTTCATTTGGTATATTTTTTTCATAAATTTAACCCTTAACCTGCCCACAAGGGGGGATTTAAAATGACAACTTTTTCACAAAAAATTAATTTTTTTAACTTAAATTTTGAAAATGTTCCGGAAGGTCTGACACTTTTATATATATCTTAAATTAAAGCTAATGTAATATGCTTTATCATGAAAAAAAAAAATTTCGGACTTTATCTTATCTTCATGGTGAAAATGGCTACCGAATGCTATTTTTGTGTGAAAATTTTCGATTTTGTATTTTCCATTTTTAACTTTATTATGCTATAACTTTTTGAAAAATGTATGAATCATTACAATTTTTTTATGAGAAGTAGTATTTATATAGATCTTTCATTCGACATACTGTTTTTTTAAATCGGACCATTTCCCTAAATACAGGGGGGATTCAAAACATAAAAATGCATATAGAAAGTAGAACTTTTTCAACGTAACTTTTGAAAGTGTTCCGGAAGGTCTGACACTTTTATATATATCTTAAATTAAAGCTAATGTAATATACTTTATAATGGTAAAAAAAAATTTCGGACTTTATTTTATCTTCATGGTGAAAACAGACATTAAACTTAATAAAAAAAATACGATTTTTGTAAAAAAATTCTTTTTTATATTTTTAACTTTATAATGCTATAACTTCTCGAAAGATGTATGGATCAATATAATTCTTTTTTTTGTAGATGCATGATGTCTTTACCTATCATTTGGTATATTTTTTTTATAAATCTGACTTTTTACCTGCCTACAGGGGGGGATTCAAAATGACAACTTTTTCACAAAAAATTGACTTTTTCAACTTAAATTTTGAAAGTGTTCCGGAAAGTCTGACACTTTTATATATATCTTAAATTAAAGCTAATGTAATATACTTTATTATGGAAAAAAAAAATTTCGGACTTTATTTTGTCTTCACGGTGAAAATGGCTACCAAATGCTATTATTGTGTGAAAATTCTCAATTTTATTTTTTACATTTTTAACTTTATAATGCTATAACTTATTGAAAAGTGTATTGATCAATATAATTTTTTTATGGGAAATACTATTTTTTAATAATCCCTTTTTTATTCTACATACTTTATCTTAATCAGGATATTAATAAGGAACTAGCAGTTTATGAAGCTTTTGGAATAATCCACCAATTTTTTAAAATTAAACACTATCTAAAGATTTGCATCGAAGCGTTTTTTTTTTGATAGTGATTTTAATCACTGTCAGATATCATTATACTTGATCCATCTATACCACGTCACCACTGTGCCGCGACCCCCCTGAGCTGGGTTTTTTATAAAAATAATTTAAACATATTATTAAGTAAAATAATTTATTTTTAGTATCGAAAAAAAATCACTGACAGTTACAGTCAAAATAACATTTTAAAAGTGTTACATTATTTCTACTTATTATTAAGTATTTTAAATTATTTTAATATTTTTTATTCATAAATATACATTTCTACAATTTAATTTTGTGATTAAATAAAAATTGGTTTGCTAGATTATATAATTGCTTTCTATCATAGAGAACTCCATTTCCGGTAGTGAGTCAAATTTTATCAGTAATTCGGTACTTATCTTTATATCATCTCTAGTTCCTAATGTTTTAAATTTTAGCCGTCGTAAAACAGTGGAAATTATAATTTTGATCTGAAGCATTGCAAATTTTTGTCCTACAATACATTAAAAAAAAAAAATTAATTAAAATAATTCTAAATTTAATGTAGTATTGTTGTATAAGAAAAATAAAACGAAATCAAATGGTATCAAGTGCTTACCAATACAATTTCTTGGCCCAGCACTAAATGGTATATACGAAAACAAAAATTTAGATTTATTTTCTTCATCCAAAAATCTTTCAGGATCAAATTTTTCAGGATTTGGATATAACTCTTCGTTACGATGGATTACGTATGGCAATATTATCAAAACTGTATTCCGGGGTATAACGTAATTGCCTAAAAGTATTGTACAGTACTTGCATTAATAATATTTTCACATTTATTTAAAGAAGAAATTTTATTACTTTATAATATGAATTATAATGATTTAAATAAACAAATTAAAAATAAAAAACCCAGCACAGGGGGGTCGCGGCACAGTGGTGACGTGGCATAGTTGGATCAAGTATAATGATATCAGACAGTGATTAAAATCATTATAAAAAAAAAACGCTTCAATGCAAATCTTTAGATAGTGTATAATTTTAAAAAATTGGAGGATTATTCCAAAAGCTACATGATCTGCTAGTTCCTTATTAATATCCTGTTTAAGATGAAGTATGTTAAATGAAAAAGGGATTATTAAAAAATATTATTTCTCATAAAAAAATTATCCATACATTTTTCAATAAGTTATAGCATTATAAAGTTAAAAATGTAAAAAATAAAATCGAGAATTTTCACACAATAATAGCATTCGGTAGTCATTTTCACCGTGAAGACAAAATTAAGTCCGAAATATTTTTTTTCCATGATAAAGTATATTACATTAACTTTAATTTAAGATATATATATAAAAGTGTCAGACTTTCCGGAACATTTTCAAAAGTCAAGTTGAAAAAGTTAATTTTTTGTGTCAGTTAAAAGTGAGTAAAAGTTGAAATTTTAAATCCCCCCTTGTGGGCAGGTAAAGGGTCAGATATGAAAAAAAAAATATACCAAATGAAAGGTAAAGACATCAGGCATCTATTAAAAAAAATATATATTGATTTGTTCATTTTTAAAAAAGTTATGGCAGTTTTAAGTAATAAAAATTTCAAAAATTTCAAAAATTAGCGATTTTTAAATTTGTAATATTTTTGAAGGTTTCCCCCATTTACGGGGAACTTCTCAGCTTCGCATCAAAGCCAAAAATGCGATTTTTGTAAAAAATTTCTTTTTTATATTTATATAAGTATTATTTATATTCTTCTTTTATGCGACATACTTTTTTTTTAAATCAGACCATTACCCTTTATGTATTTATTCATATATTATACTTATAAATTATATTAGAATATAATTAAGGAAATAGGAGATCATGTAGATTTTAGAATAATCCACCAATTTTTTAAAATTAAACACTATCTATAGATTTGCTTGGAAGCGTTTTTTATGATAGTAATTTTAATCACTGTCAGATTAAATCTATACTGGACCCAACCACAGTAGTCTGAAATCGAATTTTAGGCGCTCATAAGTCTCATTTTAAAATGTACTCATAATGTTAAAATAATTATGCAAACTCAATTATATACAAAATATAAAATTTCAAGGTCACATGTTAATCCGGTCGTTTTTTATAGCCGTTTGAAGTATATATATGGTTATATTACGGTTATTTCAACATAAAAAAGGTCTTTCGTTGTAAAGTTTTTAACAAGTTAAAAAAATTTTTTTTTTTATATTTTATTAAAAGTAAAGGTTAAAGATATCAAAAAAAAAATTTCGAAAAAAATTTTTTTTTGACTAAGTAATGATTGTTTTAATAAAATAGAGCATTTTTGATGCATATGCTATTAGTATCAAGATATATATATCTCCAATGAAATTATTTAAAAAAAAAAGTATAAATTAATTTTCTATTGATGTGCAAAATTTATTTTTAAATTTCGAATCGAACGTCGTAGATGAAATAAATAACCTTAACAATTAAATATCAGAAATTGAAATAAATGTAAGCTAATTGTAAATAAAAAATGTACGAATTGGTTTAATCTTATTAGCCTTATGCACAGTTATTTTTGTCCGCCGCAAAAAAAAATTATATTTTTGAAATCTAGACTAGTTGCTCTACAATATATATGCATTGATACTAGGGTAAAATAGAGTAATTTTTAGTACTGTGCTTTTTAGTTTCAAAAACGCCTCAAAAAATTATTATATAATTATATAATTGTAAAAATTCATTGTTAATTCAGGAGAAACTAACAATCATTTCTAAAAAAATGATTTATATAGCAACATGTTACCAAAAAATGTTGAATATTATAGTCTAGTAGTAGCACACACAAATAGAGTAAAAAAATGATTAAATTACAAAGTAAAATGATTTAATTTTGTAGTTGAAACCTATCATATCAAACTTCATTAGTTAATAAATATTTTGAAAACATTAGAAATTAATGATTTTAATTGTCTTTATGGAGACCATGGGATAAGTAACTGTTTCATTGATAAATTAGAATTTTTTTAAAAATTTTTGAGGGTAATATCTTCAACTAATTGTAATCATTTGACGTATCGTTGAAAAATGTAGATTAAGTTAGAGCAGAGAAAATAAATGATAGTCACAATAAATATAGTTTAAAAAAACTAAAAAAACACGCTTTTAAAGCACATCGAACTAAAAAGCTAAAAATAATTTTTAAAATAAGCTTAAAACAATAATGAACGAAAAATACTAGTATTATTGTAATAAAAGCGTGGGTGCTTTGTGCCATATTTTTCGTATATTGAGCGCCCGACGCTTTTATTACAATAATACTAGTATTTTTCGTTCATTATTGTTTTAAGCTTATTTTAAAAATTATTTTTAACTTTTTAGTTCGATGTGCTTTAAAAGCGTGTTTTTTTAGTTTTTTTAAACTATATTTATTTTTTACTTTTTAGTTTCAAGTTATGATAGTAGTTATGGTTGTAACGGGTAACGAGAAATGAGGGTTCGATTCCGGAGAGGGAGTCTGAGAAACGGCTACCACATCCAAGGAAAGCAGCAGGCGCGTAAATTACCCACTCCCGGAACATGGAGGTAGTGACGAAAAATGACGATACGGGAATCATCCCTCGTAATCGGAATGAATACTTTATATCTCTTAATTAGAATGAATCGTGTTAATATATAAATTTTAATAGTAATTAGAATATATATATATATATATATATATAAATATATACAAGTAAAGCGATTTAAGTACGTAAACGTATCATGCACTAGGTATAACCGTATTTTGTGGGCGGGCGGGTCGGACTGACGTTATACCTGATGTATAAACGGCGGTAGGAATATATACGTAAGGCGCATTAGACGCGGGCGGTATTGGTCAATCAAAATAAAAATTTGTTTATATATATATAATAATGATGACAAGCACGCGTGTACAGGTACGATAACTAAAAATACATTTTTATAGGAATAGTGTGCCGTCGTGTGTTGAGCGAGGCGTGGGGAGGGGTGAATGCGTTATGACAGTCTAGTCTAGACGACGGAATATGCGATAACGCGTGGCGTTTGGAGAGTTACAAACATACATACATACATACATACATACATACATACATACATACAGGTGAAACTAATATAAGCGTGTTAAAAAAATACCTTCTCAGCTTTGCATCGAAGCTAAAATCTAAAATATAGTAAAATAATTTTAATATGAATAAGAAATTTCTTCTCACATGGGGCGACTAAAGTGATGGGATCCTTGATCTTTATTGAAGTTATTGAATCTAAATGAGATGAAAATCAAACGAGTTGAAAATTTATTCTAACTAAAAAATAATTAAGAAAAATGCAAAACATTTTCTTGCTATACGTGGGTTGGAAACCTGTACCCCAAGCGCGTAAGGCATAAGCTTTACCGACTCGGCAACCGTACGTCGCTTTCGTCGATTGAAAAATGTGGTATTTTAAGCTAGTTCAAATTTCAAAGCTATTTTCACGACTAAAAAAAAGCAAAAAACTTTAAATAAGTTTAACTTTCTATGCTATTTCAATTTGATTTATATAATATTTATGAAAAACAGTGTACTCCCCATGTAAGGTATTTTAAATTAAAATAAAATACAAAACCCAGAATTTTAACACAAAAATATCATATTTTTGAATACGGTAGTCATTTTCACCATGAAGACAAATCCAGAGGTCAAATTTTTTTTTTAAATTAAAGTATATTACATAAGCTTTAATTTAAGATATATATAAAAGTGTCAGTATTTCTGGAAGACTTTCAAAAATTAAATTGAAAATGTCCTAGTTTCAATAAGCATGTTTAAAGTTTTGACTTCCCTTGTATAAAGGGGTATGATCCGATTTACAAAAAAAGTGTGTCAGATGAAAGGGGTATATAAAAATTATTTATAAAAAAATAATAATATTGATCCATACACTTCTCCAAAAGTTATAGCAATATAAATTTAATATTATAACATATAAAATCGAGAATTTTTTCACGGAAATCGTACGTTTTTCTTTAACTTCGATGTCCGTTTTCACTATGAAGACAATTCCAGAAGTCCAATTTTTTTTTTTTAAATAAATTATATTACATAAGCTTTAATTTAAGGTATATATAAAAATGTCAGTCTTTCTGGAAGACTTTCAAAAGTTAAGTTGAAAAAGTTAATTTTTTGTAAAAAAGTTATCATTTTGAAACCTTTCCTGTGGGCTGTTAAATGTTCACAAAAATATATAAAATGATAGGTAAATATCTAAGGTATCTATAAAAAAAAAATTATATTGATTCGGTCATTTTTAAAAAAGTTATGGCAATTTTAAGTAAAAAAAATTGAAGAAATGTCGAAAATTAGCGATTTTTAAATTTGTAATTTTTTGGGGGATTTTCCCCGTTTACGGGGAACGCGGGAATTTTTTTCAATTTTTGAGGGTAATGTCTTCGACTAGATACGATTTGTGATCTTTTGACATATTGTTCATCAAAATCGGTCCAGCGAGAGCTGAGATTGAGCGTTCACAGACACAAAAAAAATAAAAAAATAAACACATCATAGTAAAATTAATACCTTCTCAGCTTCGTATCGAAGCTAAAAATACATACTTAATTGTAGATCATCATTTAGTTGTCGGGTTATTTGTGGTATACTAGGATAAATCCTTAGACATTCTTTTATCACTCTTTCTAAGTATTTCATATTATTAATGTCTTCCATTGTTGCGTCTCTGTCTGAATCACCAAATATATTATACAACTCATCTCGAACTAATTTCTAAAAAATAACAACAAATTCACTTAAAACTATGCTAATTATGAATTAATTTGTTTACTTGTATATCTTGGTAAATTCCTAATAGTAATAAAACTACTGTAAGATTTATTGAAGTTGTGTCAAAACCTCCAAAAAGAATAGAATCTACTTCTTCTTTAATATCATTATCATTCATTTGATTTGGATATTCGTCAGAAAATCTTATAAGTAGTTCCAAAAAAGATACTTTTTTCGATTTTTCTAAAATTATTTATCATTAAAAAAAATCAACCTTAGATTTAGTTGTCGTGTTATTTTATTTTTTCTATTGCTACAAACCAATTGTGATATTTTCTTCTGAGGTTTTGTTGTTTTTTTTTTCGCTTATAGCTATTCGTTTTTTTTTGATCATCTAGTTAAAAAAAAAAAAAATTATGTGTTAAACTCATGTATCATTGCGTATTTGTTTTATACTTACATCTTCTCTAAAACGATGTAGCACATCAAGAGATGCATAAAACATTTTGCCAGACTTACTTAATTTAAATATAAAATCTTTCCATAGCCAAAATTTAAAAATCCTTTCACACAATGCCTTAGATGCACTAAAAAAATTACATTTCAAATAGTGATGGGAAATATCGAATAGTAACTATCGAACTATTCGATAGTTGTCCACTAATATTGTCATTTGAATAGTAAAAATATTCGTTAGTTAAACATATATTCGAATAGTTTTTAAACTATTCCATAGTTTATTCGAGTAGTTTTTAAAATATTTGATAGTTTAGGATAAAAATAAAATATTCGGTGGTATAAAAACAATTCGAATAGTTAATAGTTAAGTATTTATCAGTTTTTACCAACGACTCACAAACTAAAAATAAATAAAATGGTACTTTTTACTGTTATTAATTGTATAATAAATTATTTTAAGTATTCGTTAATTATATTCTTATTATAATTAAGTGTACTTAATAAAAATTTTAGATAGAAATCGAATATTTTTAAAAACTATTCGATAGTCTATTTGAATAATTTTAACCCTTTAGCAGGCGCGTGCCTATTTTTAACGTTCATATTACCGTGAGGGTCTATCAGACCCCATTTCTAAAAAAATATAAAATATGTATAAAAAAGTTCATTTTTTTTAATTCAAAGACATTATTTGTTACCATATGATATATAAATATGAATGAAAATTCAAAAATAAATAAATTACAAAATTATGTGCATTACTAAAAATTATATTACGAAAAAAAAAACTTAATTTTCAAAATTTTATTAAAAAATTTTGGTTTGTAAAAAAATTATTTTAACTGCAAAATCTTATTTTTAAAAGCTTTTACTATTACAAAATGTATTTTAATTAATTTTTCTTGTATTTCTTTGAGCTCAAACATGGCTTATATTTATTAGTTTTATGTGTATTTACATTTATATAATCATTTAGCTGAATTGAATTTTTTTATTATTAATATTACAATACATTTAATTATTATGATACGAGTATATACAATTTTTCGTTCGTAGTAGCACATCGATTACCGATAATTAATGTGTTCACATTGCGACGCGATGTATTTATTACATATTTTGTTCTTATTTGTTCCGTATCATCGATTAGTGGAAATTCTAAATAGATTATTTATTTTTAAAACTTAATTGCTCAGTCGTTGGCAGATTCACATAATTCCAATTCCACAATATTATATCGATTATAACATTGCATTTACGATAAAACGATATTTTGAAAAAAATAAAAGTCCAAAAAAAAATTATAACGTTACAAGTCGCGTGGGGGTAAATATGACCCATTTAAATTTTGATGGATATTTTAAGTCATACACTTTTTTTTCGAAGGTATTTATTTATGAAAATCGATTCAATATTACTATAAAAACCATCTTCTAAATTTATGTACACCTTTTATGCAATATAATACATTCGTTTTTCTTTATGTGGGGATATGCTAGACCCCCACGCGACTGTTTAATGGTTAAAAACTATTCGATAATTTATGCTAAAAACACACTATTCGGTTGTATAAAAACAATTCGAATAGTTATTCGATAGTTTAAAATATTCGAAAATGCCCATCACTAATTTCAAATATTTAGTATTTGAAAGGTTTTTATATTTAAACTTGTTTGCATGGCCAAATATGGCACTAGTTCATAAATTATTTTTCGAATATCGTATTTATCCTATTTTATTGTATCTGCGATTGAGATAAAAAGAATCAAAGAAATAATATTAACCGTTTTTGATTGTTAAAATTTTATCTATTTCAACTAAGTTTATTAATGTATTCAAATAAATAGTATTTAATTTTTCATGTTTCAAAACTGTTACTTTTTAGATGCTTTGACGTAATTTTGTGACTGTCCTTCTTGAGAATTCATATTAACACCCATAATTGTTTCTAGAAATGACAATGATTAAAGTAAGTATTATCATTTATCATTTATTATTTCTATTATATGTAAACGTCGTATAATATAACAAACTATTGAATTTTAAACATTCATAAATAAGTCGAATAGAATTATAATAAGTATAATTTTAGCTTCGAAGTTTATGTTTTATTATTAAAATTTTACTGAAAAATTCGTAGAAAACTAAAACAGTATAATAAATAAATAATTATTGTCGTTGTTATTCCAAATAAAAATACTTGACTAAATTGATTAACTAAAAAAAAATACAGTTAAGTTCATTAAAAACAAAAACAATTTTTATAAATACTGTTATTATAAACAATTTTTAGCTTAGATGCGAAGCTGACAGGTATTGGTTTTACTGTGATTTTTTTTTGTGTGTCTGTTACCACTTTTTCTCAGCTTTCACCTAACTGATTTCTTTTAACGATACGTCAAAAGATCACAAATCGTATCTAGTCGAAGATATTACCCTCAAAAATTAAAAAAATTTCCCTCGTTCTCTGTAAATTGGAGAAATTTCCAAAAAAATTACAAATTTAAAAATCGCTAATTTTCGAAATTTTTTCAATTTTTTTTACTTAAAACTGCTATAACATTTTCAAAAATGAACAAATCAATATAATTTTTTTTTATAGATGCATGATGCCTTTATCGTTCATTTGGTATATTTTTTTTTATAAATCTGACCCTTTACCTGCCTACGTGGGGGGATTCAAAATGAGAACTTTTTCAACTTAACTTTTGAAAGAAAAATGTATGGATTAATAAATTTGGAGAAAAAAAAATTTCGGACTTTATTTTGTCTTCACGGTGAAAATAGTTACCAAATGCTATTTTTGTGTGAAAATTCTCGATTTTGTATTTTACATTTTTAACTTTATTATTCTATAACTTTTTGAAAAATGTATGGATAAATACAATTTTTTCGTAAGAAGTAGTATTTATATACATCTTTCATTCGACATACTTTATCTTGATTAGTATATAAATAAGGAAATAGCTGATCATGTAGCTTTTTGGAATAATCCACCAATTTTTTAAAATTAAACACTAAAGATTTGCATCGAAGTGTTATTTATGATAGTGATTTTAATCACTGTCAGTTATCATTATACTTGACCCAACTATGCTACGTCATCATTATGCCGCGACTCCCCTGTGCTGGGTTTTTTTATATTTTTAAATGACTTTTTTTCATCAAATTTAGAATTAATTTAGATATTTTTAGCGAACTCTAGGAAGTAGAAGACCTTGTCGTCAATCAGGTATAATGACGGTTACAATTTAAATATTCCAACTATATTTACGACAAGCTATATCCATAGAACACAGTATTATGTACTCTTTAATATTGATTTTTTTCTCATTTTGAGACACTCTAAGCAATTTTTTTGTTAAAATTTGCGAATGTTTGTTTATTGCAGGCAAATACATGTCCAACGTTTGATAGTGAAACGTATTTGTGAGTAACTTTCGTCGTGTAGTCCATTTTGAACCTATGAATATATATTTATACAAAAAAAAAAATTATAATTATATACAATTTTTGTTCAACATTTGATACCTATGCTTAAAAAAAGTCCATCATGTACCCAAGGCCTCATCATGTTATATTCTGGTCCTTTACTTATGTGTTGTGTACTAGATAAAACTATCTAAATATTATTATGATAATAATTAGTTAAATTATTCCTAAATTAATAAAACTAAATTAAAGTTGAGCATCCATTAAAATGGTATTTTGAATGTCCATTGTTCGTTATGTTATGTTTTACAATAGTGAATTATTTAATTTTTGTTTTTATTGAGATTTATATACAAAAATAACGAAATTTTTGTGTTTTTAATACAAAAAATTAATTTTTTGACTTAGTATATTTCCCATATTATTATCTCAACTATATTTACATTTATTTAACTATATTGTCAAAAATTTTAAAAAACATTTTTTTTGAGAAAAAAATTGTTTAATAGTATTTTTTAATTTTTATGCTTACGGTTTGTTAGCGGTAAATGATACGTAAATATGTGTAAGAATCTATTATTTTGCTAATATGTTTTCCTACAAAATTAATGCTATAGTTTTTTCCGTCATAGTAATATTTTAAAAGCAAAATACTATATTTCTACCACTTTTCGTCATTTGAGGCACGTGAAGGAGTTGACTTAAAATATTCAAATTTTACGAACATTTTTTATTTACTACATAGATTAAAATATGAGGTTCTTCCATTCGAATTTTTAAAGTTGATCAAATAAGGACCATCCTAATATATTCATATATTACACTTATAAATCATAAAATTTGTAATCAGGATATAAATAAGGAAATAGGAGATCATGTAGCTATTGGAATTTTCCATTAATTTTTTAAAATTAAACACTATCTACAGATTTGCATCAAAGCGTTTTTAATGATAGTGATTTTAATCACTGTCAGATATCATCATACTTGACCCAACTATGTCACGTCCCCATTGTGCTGGGTTTTTTAATGTTGCACCAAATAAAAAAAATTTGTTACAATTTTTTCGGTAACTTATAGTTATTCAGCTATTACCATTTTAAAAAGACAAATATTTTCATTGATATTAAAAGGTGTACTAACAAAAAAAAAGAATGATACAGATTTAAATGAAAATAGTTTTTTTATATTTAGTTAATATAAAATAATAATTTTCATTTTCATTCATAAGGAAATTTTTTTGGTATATTTTAGTTTTATATTCTTTAGGACTTATTAATTATAAGTATATCTATAATTCAACTTTCTTACGTTATAAGTGTGTCGACTTAATTTTTTTAAATAACAATATACATGTTTAACTAGCTTATAAAATAAAAAAAAGATTAATTAAGGAAATGATTGGTTGATAATAATTTTTGAATTATTATTTCGGAAGTTGTTCGCCACCGGGATCCTACTAAGGCGGTTGGCCCGTATGACTAATAGTAACTGTTGACAATCTATGTATATATATCACACTCTTTTTTTTTTGTTATCTAATTACAGCCGACCAGCCTTTTGGTAGCCCATTAGTGTACGTTCCACCGCCATAACGAAGGCGATGCGCTCCTAGTTTTTTTCAATTATTTGTAATGTCAAAATGAATATATGTTAAAATAGTAATGTATATCAATCTTTTTTTTGTTTATTGTTTTGATATTAAATATTATTAAAATTAAAGTAAAATTAACAATTAAAAAAACATTGAGCGTTTTTATATTAAATTTTAATATACCGCTTGCCCCAACATTTGGTCCTTACGAACACGATTGTTCAAAATTGAACCGTCAAATAATTGTTAGCATTAATAGGTGCTATTTCAGAAAATAATAAGTTTAGTTCGTTCGTTTTTTAGTTCCCGTTTAGTTCGAATAGGGTTTCGCGAGTTCGTATGTAATCGACGCATAGGTGCTATATTCGGACAAAGAAATGAAATTTCTAGCTGCAACCAAGTATAGCTAAAGCGTACAAAGTGTTGCTATCATCCGCAGCTGTCAATAATGGCAGAGAAGACAAGCAGCCAAAAAGAGGTCTCAGCTAACCAAATTTATGACCTATATCAAAAATTTCAACAATGATAGCGATATCGAGCAATTATAATTAAGAAAGCAAAAGGTTGAAGAAAGCTGGGACGAGTTTCAAAAACTACAGTCCGAAATCAAAAATAAGTCGTCGGATAAAGATGACGAAGAAAAATATAGAAACAACTATGAAAATGATTATTTCAAAGCACTTGCTGAATGTAGCAGAGTTTTTATATTAAATTTTAATATACCGCTCGCTCCATTAGTAACAATACCAAGGGATTTTAATGATAGATTTCTAACCATAATGAATATAGTTAAAAAAACTGAAAAACACGCTTTTAAAGCATATCGAACTAAAATGTTAAAAATAATTTTTAAAATAAACTTAAAACAATAATGAACAAAAAAACTAATATTATTGTGAAAAAAAGAGTCAGGCACTCAATATACGAAAAATATGGCACAAAGCCCCCACACTTTTTTTCACAATAATAATAGTATTTTTAGTTCATTATTGTTTTAAATATTATTTTTAACTTTTTAGTTCGATATGTTTTAAAATTGTGTTTTTCAGTTTTTAGCTTCGATGCGAAGCTGAGAAGGTATTAGTTTTACTATGATTTGTTTTTATTTTATTTTATTTTGTGTCTGTTACCACTTTTTCTCAGCTCTCACCGAACCAATTTCTTTTAGCGATACGTCAAAAGATCACAAAACGTATCTAATCGAATACATTAACTCGAAAATTGAAAAAATTTCCCTCGTTCCCCGTAAATGAGAGAACTCTCCAAAAAAATTACAAATTTAATAATCGCTAATTTTCGACATTTTTCCAATTTTTTTTTACTTAAAACTACTATAACTTTTTCAAAAATGACCAAATCTATACAATTTTTTTATAGTTGTATGTACCTATCATTAAAGATAACAACTTTTTTACAAAAAATTAACTTTTTCAACTTTTAATTTTTATAGACTTATGTTGTCATGTTATACCTCTCTCCTAATATTCCTTTTAATTCTTTGCAACGGTGCTCGTACCAACCGTAATCCAAAGGGTTATACTTCTCTCTTTACCTAAATTAATTAGTTCTTAAAGTAAGACTGATATGGTAGGTAGTTGTTTAGTATAGATATATTCGTTCCTTTTAAAATAAAACAAAGAGTTAATTATTTGAACAAATTTGTGTTGTGATTTTATATATTGATAAATTTATGTTAAGTAATATTAACTCAAATAAACGTAGAAATGTTTCACTGTCAAAGTAAAATAATTTTAAATGTTTACAAACAAATTTCTATATTTTAATTTTTGAAAATATTCTGAAACATATGACAAATCAAATTCTATACAAAATTAAAGTTATTATAAATATACGATATTATTGAAGAAAAACTTTTTTTTTTTATTTTAAAATTATTAAGACATATTTAAGTAGTATATAAATAGCGGGTACGGGCTCTCAAAGGTGCCGACAATGACGTCATCTATTGTTCTCAGAACAATGGGGCGCTATTGTTCTCGGAAAACAATAGGTGCGCTACGGGCTCTCAAAGGTGCCGACTAATTATGTCATCTATTGTCCCCGGGGAACAATGGGTGCACAGGTGAGATGCATTCCGTCATGGTGACGTCACACCTGACCTACCGTAACCCCCCCCCCTGGCCTCGGTGCAGCTCGTGAGGTCATCCCACTGGTTGACGACGTCACATCATTGACCAAAGGGGTAAGCCGCTGTGACGTCATATCTAAACTTTGATATTAGGGTAAGCCCTATGGTGGCCGCCCCTAGCCGACGTCAGACTTCAACACTGACCAAAGGGGTAAGCCGCTGTGACGTCATACCTGAACCTACTACATTTAACCCGTTACACAATCCCAACTATATAATATATATGTTAGTTGGGTCGGTCAAAAAATAAAAAAGTTCATTTTCCAGAGTACCTACACGCTAACGGTTCAACGTACGTAAAGTACGCGTCGAGTCCGCGCGTATGATATGTCACAACCCTATATATAGCCGTGCCAATTCACCCCGACGTTTTCGTTTAAGTTTAAGTCTATGTTTCGTAAATGATGAATACCCCTTCCATGTGGTTCCGCTACACATTCCAGACATTCCTACAGTCGTTGTGTTTGATAAAAAAACCACTGAACAAGTGCATAACGCGTAGGCGCAATATCAGAAACAGCATTACTTCAAGGTCAATTGTTGTTTACAACATTGACTCTGTGTGTGTATATTATACACTGTATAACTACTACATACCCTTTTATTGAAACATTGAAATACAATATTCGGTTTTTATTGATGCGTACCATTTGTATAGTACAAATAGCCAAAGTCTGTTAATCTTGAAATTAATGTGTTTGTTATTTTAAAATATAACCGATTACTGAACACATATCTATAACAAAGGTAACACTTGTGACTGCAATATTATTGTAGTGTCCTTCCACGGTGGACGTCAATCGCACGAAATATTTACCACGAATTTGCGAGTGACATGAAGAAGTCACCGTTCGTTTGTACAGCAAACACAATGGACAGTGTCAGCGACAGCACAACCGTCAAAACGTTGTGGGAGCATATTAAACAGATGGACGCTTCGCGTATCGGATTATTTTTTTGCATAACGGCTGCAACAATCTTTTTGATTTTAATGCATTTCACACAAACCGTTGACAGTAGCAGATATCAGATCGTAAACAGTAGCGACAGCGATAGCGGGTACGACGATGCGGATGACATCGACAATTTAAAAAATAACTTGTTTGTAATAACTAATAGTTTGGACGCGCTCGGTCGAGATTACATAGCAATCGATGATCGTGTTTTTATATTGGAAAAACGTATTGAAACAGTAGAACGAACGTGCCATTGAAATGTCAACGGGTGTTATTTAAACAAAATAGCTGACAAACAAAATTAGACTAATGTTTTTTTTTTTTTAATGATTTTCAAGATAGTAATGTAAATATTACAAATGATATCGTACTTTGATAAATTGAATAATTAATTATTTTTATATGTGAAACTAAAAAAAAAAAACAACTCATTTTAATATGTAAAAAAATTTACTATACTAATACATTTTTCAAAAATTTAAGAGAGTTGTAGTATTTTCACGCGTTGAATGAAATCTACAAAAAAAAAAATCAGACCATGTGTGACTTTACTAGCTTTAGTGTCCACACAAAATTAATTTGCTCAGTTTAATCATTCCACTGATTGCGACTTACACTGTTGTTTGGTTATACGTTTAATATCGATGTGTATTCGATTAAAAATGGACAGTGGAAATGAAACGTATAAGGCGTATGAAAATTCAGGTAAGAAATTAAAACTGTATGTTACGGTGCGATACTATCTACGTGAAATTACTTTTCAATTAATTTTTTGTTCAGGATATGATGTTTGTGGATTTTACTGTTCGACGTCTAATGACCAGCAGCCTAGAATTAAACTCTCTAAACACAAAGAGTTTGCCGATTATAACACTCGTTTAAAGACTTTTGAAAACTGTCCAAAAAAATTGGAATCAAAAATATCAACACTTTGTGATGCTGGATTTTTATACATAGGTATGGGACTATATATTATTATATGTATTTTTATGATTCGTACATTTATTCAAATACTTTATTTATAAGTGTATATAATTAATAGGTAATGGACAAAATGATCAAATGTTATGTTACTGCTGCAGTCAAGGTTTGAAAGATTGGGATGATGAAGACGACCCATGGGTAGAACATGTACGTTGGTCTCCTAGCTGTACACATATATTGTTATGTAAGGGTCAGTTATTTATCCAAAATAATAAAATAACGAAATAAGACTACTATTATTTGTTATTTTGATTTTCATATAAATAATACAATCACTGTCATTCTTATATATTATTGTAATTTGAAATAAATAAATGAACATTTTTAATATTGTATCTTGTGTGTTATATGAAACCATATAAAAGGTACGGTGGGTAATAAATAAAAATAGCAATAATTAGTAAAAAATGTATTATACTACTACATTCATAATTTTCATAATCTAAGAGAGTTGTTGTATTTACTAGCGTTCGTATCTACCAAAAAAAAAAAATTAGACACGTGTGACTTTATCAGTTTTATTGTGTTCCGAATTATGTATATATATATATTTTTTTCCAAAAGAAAATCAACAAAAATATTGCTAAAGTTGCGTTTTTTTTTTTTTACACCTAAACCATTATATCCAGTAAATATTCTATACATTTTTTAACGTTAAATTACGTTTTACATTGCAACATTGTAAATCTATGTAAGCAATTTATTGATACCCACTAGTAAGATATTGAATTCATAGGGACTTTTATCCCAAACAATTAACTTCATTATCCTTAAAAATATAAATTTTACTAAATAACTGTAGAAATAACCCATTATCTGTTCATTCTATTTTGGTGTTTTTACTGTGCTATTCATCATATACTACTACTGTTTTTCACGGCCATTCTTGTGTATTTTCAACAGTCATTTAATTGTAAGTATAATTTTTAAATTGTCATAATGTCTTAAACCTTCAATGCATTTATTTATTTTTAAAAATCGATAATACTGATAACTTTCACAAAGTTTTTTCATAAATAAAATTTGTTTACTATAATTCGAAATATTTATATTAAGTATATTATCAATATATAACTAAAATTATAATATTTTAAGTAATACAAATACGAATTTTTAGGTCATTAAATATATTCAAAAACCCGATCCAGTGTCTTTTTAAAGTATATTTCTGTTTTCGTGTATTGAACCAAAGTAAGTTATTATCTAACCACCACTATTCAGTTATAAATGTACTTATAAGTTTACAATAATTTTAATCATTCAAAATGAAATTACNTTATTACTTATTGTTATAAGTTTACAATAATTTTAATCATTCAAAATGAAATTTCCAAAGAGTTAATTTTACACTTTCCACCTCACTGTATGTTTAAATATTGTGATGATATTTAAATAATATTATATATAATATTTACATGGTCAGTGTAAATTAAGTGTTGTATATATAGTTTTGTAAATATATTTAAATATTTTAAATTATTATGTTGAAAAATGTTAAATAAATATGTAAATATGTTGTATTAATGGTATGTGTAACTAACTTAATAAAAAAATTATCTAATGGAAACAATGTAGTAACAATCAGGCCTTTGTTACATTTTTAGTGGGTAAATGTGTTAGTATTTATTATGTTGTAAAGGTTAAAGATTATCATCTTGTGTAAAACATATATATGTGTGTGTGTGTGATACGCTCCGCCACACACTCAATGATTTCNATAAAGGTTAAAGATTATCGTCTTGTGTATAACATATATATGTGTGTGTATGATACGCTCCGTCACACACTCAATGATTTCTACGATATATGATGACGAATAGTTTGTAAATAACTGTATTATTAAAGAAAAAAAAAACAACTCAGTTTATAAGTGGTTAGAGGAGTACACATAGCTGTAGGAGTGCATCGACTGTATTGTAGACTAGTAATTTATCTTAAACATAAACAAATGGAGAGAGGAGAGGGGTGTATGCTATGAGAGCATACCGATATGTATATCAGATTAATGGTCTCGTGGCAAGCGGATGGAGGTGACGAAAAAAAAAAAAAAAATTCATAGCACTAGCTGCATCCGTTTTCGAGTTACGTGCAATTTTTGGAGAACTTGTATTACGCGGTATCCTCCTCCGTGTGATGCTGTGACTGATGGTAGTAATTATTGTTAGAAATGTACATATCAGTGTCGAGTTATACACCATTAATACGACATTCACCATTTATATATATATAGTTTACTCACGAATAATTTTGGTGTGTAGAAAATGGAACAATTAAAACAAAAAATGAATAATCAAGCCAAAGGCATGGAATACATTAAAATGTCTGACCTGGTAGAGAATCATGTCTATCGAGTGGTTTCAATGAAAAATAGCCCTTGTCAAACACGGATTTCGTTTTGCTTATTCTCACTTTGTCGCCCACTCGAAATTTGATCGGTAAATTATCGGGTATTTTTCGTAATTTAATGCGTACTGCATTGGGATTCCGAACAGCTTGTGCGGGTGTCATTCCAATTGTTCTGTGCACGTGATTGTTATTGTAATCGTAGACCAGTGCAGGCAACCTGAATACCCATTTGTACGACCCACGCGTAGTGAAATCACGCCACATGACCGTCTTCAGTGTGCGATTGAAGCGTTCCACAAGACACGCTTTCATCGTGGTAAATGTTGAATAATGATTGATCCCGTAACGGTCCATCAACGCTTGGAAATGTCGGTTGTAGAACTCTGTACCACGGTCGGTTTGCATCAACTTTGGATGACGACTCTGTTCGAGAATACCCGACATTGCTGTGGTCACGTTCAGGGCCGTTTTACTCTTTAACGGTACGGCCCAAGCGTACTTTGAAAACCCATCCACGCACGTTAAAATGTATCGGTGACCACGATCTGCGTACGCGCCCATTTCCACAAGATCCGCGTGCCATATGTCATCGAGTCCTTTGATGTTTACCCGTGTTCGAGTGTACGTTCTCCGGGCCGATCGATGTAGTTCGTACGCAATTTTCGGTTTCATAATGTAGACGGTATGTCGGCAATGTATCCGGCTTCGTAAAGTTCTTCTAGTATGGAAACAATCTCGGGTGACACTCCAGTGTTGCCAGCCGACTGAGCCGATATGAGCAGCTTCAGACGTTCGACAAGTTCATTGGGATCGTCCCAGTATAAGGAATCTTTTTTTTCACCGACTCTCAGCTGTAGTCCCGATCCTACGTTGCTGAACATTGGCTCGATAACTTCATTGTATTTAACACCTCCCTTTTTCAATGCCATATTTTTGTTTAGATGAGCTCCGGTTTCCTCCAATATTGTTTTGTACTTTTCCAAATCTTCGTCGGTGAACGCAACGGGGTTTTTCNTAAATCCTCGTCGGTGAACGCAACGGGGTTTTACGAAAACAACAAATTCACTAGTCCAATCATCAATTGGTGTTTTGTTCCATTTACACGAATAAAGTCACTGTCTACGGTTATATCGTTTGCATTACCCATGCTCAGTTTACCGTCCATATGCATTCTAGGACCGTATTGTTTATCTCTCAATGGATTTTTTGTCCACTGTTCTATAAGATGTGCAAAATATAACTTTGAATAGCTATTTTCTTGCGATTGCTTCTGATGATGCTGCTGCTGCTGCTGCTGCACATTGACAACATTGGATATCCTATTCAATGGTTCTATTATTGGTGCTAGTTTTTTCTGAATGTGAGTCAACGACTCTGACTCACCACGACGTAATTCTGCATATTTTCGTCTGACGTTGTCCCGGGCTTGATCCAATAGTTCCATCGAACATCGTTCCTTGTCGGCGGCGGTGTTCATATTGTAACGTACGTGTCAAACCTGTACCTGTATCGACCACTATCGCGATCAAAATCCGTACATATCACTGCGAACCCGTATTTATCGTTTTTCCAACACTGATTGCAAAATTCTTTGAACTCGTTAAATTTCATATCACAACACACGTATTCGTCGTATGCATGACGTAGGTTGATTTCGTCTTGTCGGAACAACACCACCACATTTGCATTGTCTCGTAACATTTGTTTTTGTATACGGGACAATGTTTGTGAGAGAAAAAACACATCAACTCTTTTGTGTCGGCCACGCGCAAAATAATCGCATATTACGTTTTGTTTTTCCATAACCACGTCGTCGAAAATAAACACTGAATTTGGCAGAACAGTGTCCACTGGTGGAACTTCATCACCGTTCGCAAATGTGAACACGCGTGTCCCTTCAACATCTTCCAATATTCCAATCAACAGTTGATATTTCGACTGCTCCAACGATTTCGAGTAGATGTAAACGTTTTCGAATTTCAATCCGTTCAAGTCGGCCAACAGCGCGAACATTAAATTAGTTTTACCACAGTTTGACGGACCACAAACCAGACAACGTACACTGTTTGGTAATAACTTCCCGTGTTTACTGTGCTGTACAGTGGTGGCGACATGATCGTCAAAATTGACCACGGGCAGAGTTTCTGTCTGTTTTTCAAAACGCATCGCACGTCGTCATTTACCCATCATTTTCTGTGTATTATTATTATTATTATAAAAAACTTTGTTGTTGCTCGTAACGTATTGACCTCGATTGCGTAGGACAACAGATAGCGTTATTTTTTCATCACACTTACGATATTATATATATATATATATATATATATATAATATTGTAAGTGTGAACTAGAACGTTAGAAATACAATGAAAACGCTACAACGACGTCGACATCGGAAACGGGGATCCGGTATTGTCAATTCAGTTATAAACAACATTCCTTTTGAATCCCACGTGCCCGGTTACCAGTTTGCCGGTCCTGGAACTAAATTACAGAAACGTTTAGCACGTGAAGACCGTGGTATCAATCCATTAGACGCAGCATGCCGTGAACACGATATCGCGTATTCCAAAAGTAATTCTCTCGGGGATCGGCATCGAGCCGATGAAATTCTAGAACACCGTGCGTGGGATCGAGTGCGTTCAAAGGACGCAAAATTATCAGAACGAGCCGTAGCTTGGGGTGTGACAAACGCAATGAAATTGAAACGCAAACTCGGTATGGGATTAAAAAAAATAATAATAAAAAAGTGACGGCGTCTCCGACATCGTTGAAAAATGCTGCACGAAAAGCTTTGCTCGCTGCTAGACGTGTGATCATCAAGAAGAGTCCGATGAGTGTACCTCGCATACTAAACATCCCGAAAAGCGGAGGAGTGTTGCCGTTAATTCCAATTTTTGCCGGTTTGTCAGCACTAGGAGCACTAGCTGGCGGAGCTGCAAACGTAGTAAAGGTTGCAAGTGAATTCATTCGCAATGGACGTAGTGGTGTTAACGTGGGTAAAGGACTGTACATTCGTCCTTACGGATACGGTTACCGGATCGAGAAGAAGAAGAAACCACAAAAACGTCGTTCAAAACAGAGAGTGAAAAAAAAATAATTCCGCTGCTACCCAATCGTGCATCATACGATAATGAAATAGAGCATTTTGCTCGTCATGTGCTCGATCCACGTGTATTTCGTGGTGTATTTTGTCGTGACACATTACCACGTACACAACCACATACAAATGAAATGGGCGTGATTAATCTGGACGTTTCGAGCAATAGCGGAACACATTGGGTAGCATACAGTAAACGTGGTGAGCACGTTACGTACTTTGATAGTTTTGGTAATTTACCGCCGCCATTGGAAGTGTTACGGTATTTTAACGGCTGTAATATCACATACAACTACAGAAACTATCAGACTTTCGACGAAACGAATTGTGGACACTTGTGTTTAAAATTTCTTATAGAACAAAAAAAATGTCATCCAACACAAAACCGTCATCGATAACCGTGACAGGTAGGGGATCACAAATTGAATGCCGATTTCATCCACACATTGACGTTGACGATAACTGTGAAATTGGGCTGTTGAGCTTACACACTTGGAACATAATGCCAAACATTGATGAAACTAACAATATAATCGTTTTTGGATTGCCCGGTCAGGAACCCTTGCTGAAAGTAACACTGCCCGTTGGTACGTACGAATTGGAAGACTTGAGCAAATATATTGCCAGTCAGTACGAGAAAATTTCCTTTGAATATACAATCGTTGAAAAATTTAAAGATAGAAAAGTGACCTCGTCGTTCAAAATCGTAGTGAACCACGTGACGATGCATTGCGAAATAATGTGTGAACATCCCATAGATTTCTCACATGAAAGATCATTTTGCCGTTTATTGGGTTTCAATCCTCGGTATTTGGAACCACGTAAGACTCATGTATCGGATTATCCAGTGACAATAACACCGATTACGTCTATTCGAGTGGATTGTAATATTATTGTGGGTTCGTACCACAATGGAAAACAATCACACACCTTACATGAGTTTTCTCCCAGCGTGCCACCAGGCTACCGCATTATAGAAGTTCCCAGGCAAATTGTTTACTACCCATTGAACACAAATGTGTTGGATACGGTACGAATCGTTCTATGTAATCAAGAAGGATACCAAATAAATCTCAAAGACGAAGAATTATCCGTACGCTTGCACATTAGACATAAATAGATACATCTCTCACTTTCTGAACACACCGGGTAGCGAATGGTTGTAACATGCCGTTGATTTTTAACAAAAATCGTACGACTATATCATCATCATCATCATCAACAACAGTGAAGCCCAAGTCGATACGTTACGGTGGTGGTTCCATCAAACGGTCTTGGACTGCGAATCGAACAGACCGTGTGACGCCGAGGAAACTTACGAAAGATAATATCGCATATCTAAAATCACTGGGCTGCCGCGTTGTCAACAATGACAGAGTATCTACAAGTTTTGGAAAAATCCTTTCAAGACGATAACGTGAAACGAGAATATTACCTGGAACACCAAAGCTACAACAACTAGTACGGAAACAACGATGAGATTCGCATTGAGTTGCGCAACAAAGAAAAATTCACCATACCGCGTGAAAGTTACTTGCAAATAGAGGGGAATATTGCAAAACCTACAGGTGCAGTTGGTAACATTGTAATGAATCAAAACTGTATGATGAATCTTTTCGATGAAATTCGCTTTGAGATCAACAATAAAGAAATTGATAAGGTAAAAAACGTTGGTGTGACTACGACTATGAAAGGGTATTGTTCGTTTACGCCCAACGATGTCGTACGGTTACATCCAGCCGGGTGGAAAAACGTGAATAAATTATACAATGATGGAAACTTTATGGACCATTCCGAATTTGTAGCTCATTGTCCGTTGTCAATGTGTATGGGATTTTTCAAACAGTATCGGCGTACACTAATCAACTGTAAGCAAACACTCATACTCATCCGATCGAATGCCGACCACTGCGCCTTAGCATTGGTACCGGCAAAAGACGAAGCAGAAAAAGCTTCGGTGTTAACCGCAGAAAATATTGCGCTGATCAGACAAACCAAAGTGAATATCACAAAAATTAAATGGGTCGTGAAATACTTTGAACCAAATGTGAAAACGGAATTGGGTCTGATGCGCATACTCGACAGCAAAAAATGGTTACCGTTAGAGTTTCAACATTGGGACACTGCTGTATACCCCCTTGTACCACAAACCACCACTCATACATGGCCAGTGCGTACGTTCTCGGGTGTTGAAAAACCTAGGTACTTACTCGTAGCCATGGTCACAGATGCCAATAAACGGGTACACGGTGAATTCAATCATTGTTTCCTGCGTAACATCAAGGCATACTTGAACGCTGACGAGTACCCGTACGAAAACCAAAATGCAGATTTCGACAAAGGCAAATTCTCGACATTTTATAATTCGTATGCACAATTTCAAACAATGTACTATGGAGAGATGAACCCATACCCTTTTTTGGATCGAATCAGCTACAAAAAAATCGGACCTATATTCGTCATAGATTGTTCAAAACAAAACGATACCGTCAAGTCGTCCACAGTGGATCTACGTATTGATTTTGAATGTNTTCGTAAACGATAAAGTCGTCCACAGTGGATCTACGTATTGACTTTGAATGTGCAGAGCAATTTCCAACTAAAACTTCGCTGTACTGCGTAATCATAAACGACTGTCAAATGGAATACAATGCACTCACCGGAGAAGTGCGCAAATTGTAAATATAAAAATCAGTAGGATACAAAATAAAATTAAAAAAAAACTGCATATAATATATACTTTTATTTTAAGTAATATTTTTGTATAAATATATATATAGACATAATGTAATAATAAATAACGACAATAAACTATTTATTTTTTTATTGACATTTAGATTTGTATTTACTTAGATAAACTGATAGTCAATTTGCTGTACCATACCATTAACCATAAATTCATATTTGATGTTCTGAAGACGTTCGAATAACTTTATGTACAGGCATCTCACAATCCTACACATACAATTTGGTGGTCCATTGATTCGTATTTCGTTCGAATTTGATGATCTAAAACACCCGACATAATGCCAATTGGCGCTTTGACATCCACATTTATCGGCCAATACCAGCAACTAGGAATAATTTCCGCGCAACTTAGCCAGTCGATGATAAACTTCTACCGTGAGGTTGTTGTCGACATACGTATCTAGCTCGATGTTAATTCGTTCCAAGAGATCCATCTCGTAAGCGTCGTAGAACAATACTACTGATGAAACTACACACTATCACTAGATAGTGAGATTTCTAACGGTCGTCTACGACGTCAACAACAAGGGAATGTTGTTGAATCATGATGATTCATCAATAAATACATTAGTGTGGTAAAAAAAAAAAAAATAAACATGATAAAACTTGTTAGGGCACGTATGGATCCGACGGTAGAGCACGTTCGTACCGGTCGGGCACAAGCGTCATTGCGCACGACACAATCACGACGTGATAGTGCGGCTCACATTATCATAGCACAGAGTTACGTTAGCGTGACGTCGTCGTAGGGATTGTGTGTGTGTGTGTGTGTGTAACGGTCCAGCTGTAGTAGGTTCAGGTATGACATCACAGCGGCTACCCCTTTGGTCAGTGTTGAAGTCTGACGTCGGCTAGGGCCAGCCACCATAGGGCTTACCCTAATATCAAAGTTTAGATATGACGTCACAACAGCTTACCCCTTTGGTCAATGAAGTGACGTCTTCAACCAGGGGGATGATGTCACGAGCTGCACCTGGATGCAGTCCACACGGGCGCCGAGGCGAGGGGGGGGTTAGGTAGGTCAGGTGTGACGTCACCATGACGGAATGCATCTCACCTGTGCACCCATTGTTCCCCGGAGACAATAGATGACGTAATTAGTCGGCACCTTTGAGAGCCCGTACCGCCGCACACCTGTACACCCATTGTTATCCCGAGAACAATAGATGACGTCATTTGTCGGCATCTTTGAGAGCCCGTAGCGCACCTATTGTTTTCCGAGAACAATAGCGCCCCATTGTTCTAAGAACAATAAATGACGTCATTGTCGGCACCTTTGAGAGGCCGTAACCGCTATTTATATACTACTTATTTAATTTAATATTTTTAGTCGTCACACTTCCCAGAACATAGTAAAAATTTAAGAAAAAATAACTTTTATAGAGTTATGTTGCTATGTTTGAATACCTCTAGTACTTAAGGCTAATAATTGCATTTTCTAAAAAGTTATACCAAAGAATAAAAAGTTTTTATCTAAAAATTCCAAAACGTTCAGAGTTTTTTTAAAAAAAGTTATAGTAATTTTAATAAATTTCAAATTAATATAAAGAGAACTAACATTTAATATAATTTTGAATACAATTAAATATTAAACTTACTTTTAAATCTTTTGGATCTGATATTGCTACATAGGAACGTCCCATAAGGTTAAAGTGGTAAATTCGACCATACTTTTTTTCAGCATTTAAGAAAAATGACATAAGTCCTAAGCCAAAATTTAAAAAGATATTAATTAAAAAGATATAATAATATTAAAGAAAATTCAATGCAAAGTTTACAAAACCTTGTAAGTATGTAAAACAAATTTTTATGCTGATTAAGAATGTGTACAATATACGAGCAAATTAAAAGTAACAGTGACTTAAATTTATGAGTAATTTAATTAAAATATCTCAAAAATTCTCTGAACTAATAACTGCAAATTTTATCAACAAATGTATAGTTAAAATATTAGGTTTAATGTATATTAACACTCCATTAAGTATTTAAATTTTTTTATACAAGATTCACGTGTTCATGATTCAAGTGGTTATGTATTAAACATTTGAATAAAACTATAAATGCATTAAATTAATAATGTAATATTGCATTAGAGAGGGTAACTGTCCTTCAAGGGCCAAAATTCTCACTGTGCAATAGTACTTTTCTAAATTGGTTTTTTGGCTATTATATCATGAATAAAAATATATATTTCTATATTTTTGCTAAAACTATTATTTGTTATTACATAACAACAATTATGTCATTATATTTATATTATCATGTTTTTATTAAAATTTTACAAAAAACCCACAATAAAAAATATTGACAAGAAAACCTAATTTTTGATGTATTTTTAGTTTTTATCTCGACCATTTTTAAAAGATGTAACTTTTAAACCATCTCGACGCTAGTTTTTCCAAACTTGCTTTGAAAAAAAAGTATTTGGTTAAGTGGATTTGTTTCTTATGTATTATTAATATAACTTTTTTAAATAAAATATTGTTATTGTCATAATACTAGCTTGGACAAAACGCTCTTAATTTTAAAATAGACACCATGAAATTCTGTCAAAATGTAATATTCTATTATAAATTAGTAAGTGTAACGGTTAAAAATAATATTTCTTAACTTATATAGTAAATGTATATTTTTCATACCAGAAGGTTTTGTTAAACCCAACTCGAATGATATTTTTATGAAATTCCAAAATCCTTTTGTCATAGACGGTAGTTTATCTAATAATTTTTGCTCCTCTGTTGGAAAGTAATTATTTCTACAAACACTTATGACAATACATGATATTGCGGCAGATATTACAAACCATAATACATTCAAAATATAGAATTCTAACATTTTTTATTAATAAATTGATTAATCTATATTTCTCTAACGCGGTCTGTTGGGTAAAACGTTTTTGATTTACTGAAGTATTGTATGATATATATATATATATATAACTAATAATGGTAAGTGGGAATGAGTATTGGTAGGGGTTTAGTCTACATATTCTCTAACAATTCAATAATAACCTGTTGAGCTTTTATGGACTGTAATAAACATAAATTAAAGAGTAAAGCGGAGAAGAGGGAAAATTATTTTATAAGTAAAAATTAAGTATAAACTATTATTAAAATTTTTCCCTTTGGATATGGTATAAGAATACTTCTACGGCCCCTCTGCAAGTCGTAAGAAGCGTCTAATGCAGTTGCGTCAGGTCGACAGCCGGTGTAAAATTTTGCCAAAAAGTATGAGGATCGCTTAACAGAACTTGGAAGTTTAGGATAAGGGTGGCCAACCCAAAGTAGTTGGGATAAAGGCGAGGAAAACGAAGAAAACTTTACTTCTATTATAAATATTTTTATTACTCCTTTTATTAAATCCCTAATTTTGCAATATGTTCTAGGTGTAAAATACCTATGACTAATTTTGATTAAAAAAATATATATACCATATACTTTATTAAATGAATATTGGAGACTTCTATAGTGGCTTTTGGCTAAATCAGCTAATATTTGGTTTAGAATGGATCTATTTTGAATTCATTTAAACATTATTTTAGTAATATTTTGATCATATATCTTATAGTTGCTCTAAATATACCAATAGTTGATTGACACATAAATAATTATTTAATTACGCGAATTTCATTAATTGATTCTAGAATTTACATAATTGTATATCAACTTGAAGTTATGAATTGAAAATTTAATCGTAAACATGTTCAATCGTGTGTTTATAAATGAATTTTAATTCGATTATTATTTTAAGAATAATTGCAGATTCCGTAATTAGAGAGTAGTTAGATTATGTGAAAGTTCTTATAAATTTCTGAACAATATTAATTTTATTGAAATCAATTCTCATACGGAGTGTGGTTTACCAAAGTGAGTCCATGATTATATTGTTTATAATATTCTTATTAGAATAATTAGTTATTGTATTATTAAGTAATTCTATAGTAATAGTTATAAATTCGGTTTTAGTAGGATAATTCGTGTGTGATAAAATAAATATATTAATATTTAACATGCGTGTGTGTGAGAAATTCTGTTTTATATATACATTGTTTTTAAATGAATAACTTAATAGTAGAGATACTTTTAATAGTAGCGTAGTATCCATTATGGGAAAAGAATTTCAATTTTTTTAATATTGATATTTAAATATAAAGTGACTTCTCAAAGAATACAGTAATAATAGTTTGAAAGTTATATTTATATTGAATAGTGTTATTACGAAAATTATTAATTAATTCGTTGTATAAAAATTTGACGACTGTAATGAATTCTCTCCCAAATATTAAATTATTATATTATTTTATATTAGGATATAAAATACTAGGCTAATAAAGACCGGGGTCTTTTGGACTTTATGAGCCTTCAGTGCGTTAAGGCGTTTCGGGCCGTCCTTAAGAGTAGGCCACTGATTCTGGAAAGGGACTGCATAAGTGTTTTACAAAAAAAAAATAGTAAAAAATTCATTAATTAAACGAGGAAAGTTCAAATAGAGAAAAAAGTATAATTTATTGGGTATAATTTTATATTAATGGTACTGCAGTAAGGCCCGTTTCACATTAACGCGTATGGTACGCGCGTATACGATATTCTCGTGTGCTGCGTTTTTTTTTTTTTTTTTTTTTTTT